CTTTCACCGTTATACGAATTGCTTCCCACAATCCCGAATGCCATTCCACCAGCACCAATGGCCCCACCAACCCACCGCTATCCCCAACACCGCCCATTCCACCAACACCACACATCCCCGCCAACAGCGCCATCACCTGCCAACACCGTCCCCACCGCCTTCCCACCAAAACCATCCCCACCACCATTCCCACAACCAGAGCAGGCCCCAAGACACGAATTGCATCCAAGTCCTTAGAGCAAAGTCGCGGACAAGCTTTCAGTCATACTCTCAGCCAAACGCCGGACGAGCTTCCAGCCTCGCTCCCAACCAAACCTCCACCAACCCCCGTTGTCCTCGCTCACCAGCCAAGCCTCCACCATGGCTAGCATCACGCTTTGTGTAACTATTCGCCCAGTTACAACCCCGTTACGTAACTCCATCCCACGCTGCGATTCGTATACCCAACTTAACGCCATTATCCCGCACTCCCCACACCACACAACACAACCCAACAACCCCCGCCTACTCATCACAATCACTGCCCACCGATCCCCACCACCCGCCCGCCTACAACCCTGCACCATCCCGTCTCTTCCCCCGCCACTACGCCCAAGCAATCCTAGACCATTCCAGCTTCAGCACTGCAAGGCACGACCTACGAGCAGTCAGCTGCTACCACAACCACGTTCTCGTCATTTCACCATCCCCCTGGTCCGCAGTCTCCACGCCCCGCCCCTGGGCTCCGCCCCAGGCCCGCCACTGCCGCGCCACGGTCCTTGTTCCCACGTCCCGCCACGTCCCGTCCACGTCCGCCCACGCGCCCACGTCCCACGGCCCCGCCCACGGTCCCGCCCACGGTCCCGTCCACGGTCACCGCCCACGGTCCCGCCCACGCCCGCCCACAGGACCCGCCCACGGACCGCCAACGTCCCCGCCCACGGTCCCGGCCCACGGCCCCGGCCCCGCCCCCGCCCCGTCCCGTCCACGCGCCCGGCCCCGGCCCGCCGGCCGGCCCGCCACGGCCCCGCCACGGCCCCGCCCACGGCCCCGCCACGGCCCCGCCCCACGGCCAAAGCCCACGGCCCCGCCCACGGCCCGCCCACGGTCGCCGCCCACGGTCCCAGTCCACGGTCCCGCCCACGGGCCCGCCACGGCCCGCCACGAGACCGCCCGGACCCGCCCACGGCCCCGCCACGGTCCCGCCACGGACCCGGCCCCCCCCCGGCCCCGCCCCCGCGGTCCCGCGCCCCGGCCCCTCACCGCACCCGGCCCCGGGCCCCGCGCCGGCCCGCCCACGGCCCCGCCCACGGCCCCACCCACGGCCCCGCCCACGGCCCCGCCACGGTTCCCGCCCATGGGACCCGTGCCCCGCCACCGGCCCCGCCCCGGTCCGCGCCCGGCCTGCACCCGCACCGGCCCCGGACCCCGCCGGCCGGCCCCGCCCACGGGCCCCGCCCACGGCCCCGCCCACGGCCAAGCCCACGGCCCCGCCACGGCCCGCCACGCGTCCCGCCCACCGGTCCCCGTCCAGGTCCGGCCACGGTCCCGCCCACGGGCCCGCCCACCGACCCACCCAACGGCCCCAGCCACGCCCCCGCCCACGCTCCCGCCCACGGACCCGGCCCCGCCCCCGCCCCCCCCGGGTCCCGCGCCGCCCGGCCACCCGCATCCCGGCCCCGGCCCCGCCGCCGCCCCGCCCACGCCCGCCCACGCCCCACCCACGGCCCCGCCCACGGCCCCGCCCACGGCCCCGCCCACGGCCAAGCCCACGGCCCCGGCCCACGGCCCCGCCACGGCCCCCACCCACGCGTCCGCGCCACTGTCGCACCGCCCACGGCCCCGCCCCCGGTCCCGCGCCGGCCCTGCACCCGCCCCCGGCCCCCGGCCCCCGCCGCGGCCCTGCCCCCGGCCCTGCCGCCCTGCCCGGGCCCGGCCCCGGCCCTGGCCCCCGCCCTGCCCCCGCCCTAGCAAGTGCCTGAAGCGATGCCCCTTTGGCTCCGCCGGCCTCTAAACACCGCGTTTACACCTCCGCTTCGATCCCCGCCCGTACTTCCGCCTCCAGCCTCTACCTCCAATTCTCCTCCGTAGCGCGCCCCCAGCCTCCGCATGAGCGTTGCAACTAACCCGATCCTTGCCAACGCCGCCTGTCACCCTCCCACTCCCGCCCACAGCCTCGAATCCCTACGCCCGTCCCAGCCCCGGCCTCGCCACTGCCCACGCTCCAAGCCCAACCCCAAACTCGCCCAAAAAACCTTCTTGTCCGGTGTCGACTCTCCGGTCTCAGCCAACATGACTACAAATTCCCTGCCTACATCCTCCCGTCCAGCACCTCAAGTTCCAGCCCACTTTCGCCCCGCCCACACCTCAAACCCCAGAAACCACTTCACGGGAGTCTCCCAGACCCACTCATGAGCATCGCCAGGAAGTTCAATCCCAAATCCCCGCCCCCCTTCCTGACACCCACTCTCAATTCCCCCTGCAGCCCAATCCAAATCCACCATCCAAACCGTCCCAACATCAAATCTTACCCTTCGATCATCGTCCCTTGCCATCAACTCAACCTTAAGCCATCCCTTTATTACAAAAAATATTTTAAACTCGGGCCCACCCCCCATGGCCTTGCCCCCACATTGCAGGCCCATCCCCAATGCGCGAGCCTTCCCCCAAACCCTATGCTCTCCTCTCGCTTTCGCATTGCCACACTTCACCCTTCACCCCAAGCCACACTGCAATCCCTGCTCCCGCCGCCACGACCACTCCTATCCTTGGAGCCTGTGCCTCTGCGCCCACACCCTCTTTAAGCATCGCCCACAGCCAAACTCGAAACCCGGACCAACCCTGACCTCTGCCACTGCTCAACATCGTTCCTGCCACGAGGATCTGCTGGCCAGCGCCGGGCAGACGTCAGAGTATCGTCCAGTCGCAGGCGCCATGTGCAGTCTGTTCGGCCGCTGAGCTAAACCCCCGACACCTGGCCGCCAGCACCATGTGCAGCTTGCTCAGCCGCCGAGCACCGCCTGGACACCTGGCCGTTGGCGTCATGAGCCCCTGAACCCAGGGGAAAAATCTCGCTGTGGACCATCTTTGACACTCCCCCTTCTTAGTATGCTGCTGTTAAAGACTTCAATAGAATAAACTGCAACATGTTATTACGATTTCCTTTTTTTTTTAATACACAATACTTTGTAAGTTACTAAAATTCAGGAGAAAAATTTCTTTTTATACAAGACCTATGTTGTACTGTGTTTCAAACAAGATGCTAGTAAATGTAAAACTTCTGTTAAAGGGTGCTTATTACTTCATATTTGCACTGATATTTTTGTTTTTGTTTTTTGTGTATGTTAAAAACTAAAAATTTCCCATAGATAGTAGTAAATGAAAAATGTATGTATGAATAGGTGAAACCCAGTAAGATATATAATAACCTAATTAAGCCTAAAATAACGTTTATTTTAGGCTATATTTCAGTGTCAATGTATTTTCATGGTTTTAATGAAGAATTGAAATGCGGTTTTAATGATGAAACAAAGTGTCCCGATTTGACGGTAATATTGACATCATTAATCAGATTTTTTTGAATATATAAAACGTCAAATATACCGTTCTGATTTTCACCCAATCATATTAGACATGTGTTTTCTAGGGAATGGAATTATTTTTATGGTACTTTTTAACATTTTTAACTATTTTAAAATATGTATTACTTTATATTTGTATTAATTTCTTCATTTTGGTGTATTTGTAATATTAATATCTTCTCAAATATTGGTGATGTTTGACAATTGTAATAATTGTCCTAATAAAAATGTATTGAAATGTCAGGTTTTTAGTTTTTGATTTTCATGACTCTTGAGAAAAGAACAGATATCACTAAAATATTTCCTCAAAAGATATTATTATATCATTTCATTAACATCTAATGGTAAGCTCTTTTGTAATGGAACAGTGTATAAAAATAGTCTTGGAAGTTTAGTAGTGGACATTGCAGCATACAAATAAAATTGATAACTTGCAATTCACTTATCTAAGTATGCTTCACTCAACAGTTTTATTGTAAAAATTGATCAAAATGTTGTTGGTTATGCTGCATTTTTATTACAAAAATAGAAATCTTGTCAATACCTTTCTTCACTTTTTAAAATGTTTATAGCAGATGTTGGGGTAGTTGGCATTGGTTTTAATTTCTATTTGATCTATAATAGAATCTTTTATTCTATTTGATTTGATCATCAAAAAAGTAGTAAAATTGGAGGTGATGAAGAGGGAAGAATGCTGCCCTTAGGGTAATATAATGGAAAACCACGTTGTTCTAAGCTGTGGGAAATTTAATTTTAAATTTTAATATTTACTGCAATTCTTCTCTTGGAAAACTCTGTTTTCAATTTTTGTGGGGAATAATTTCAGACACTTAAATGTGCCAATGAAGCTACATTTCATAGTATTAAAACAACAAAAATATATATTAATGCGAGAGATGCACAAGGTATAAAATATATATTTATATGATTTACAAGTTTTGAAAAATTCTTATCATGTTCATGATGTTCTTACTTCTTTGTTTGTTACTTGAGCCTTTATACTCGCCATAAACAGGATCAATTGTTTTAGTGAGAGAGTTACTTTTCATCTCACAGTATCCTGAGGAATTTTCAATGTCTATGCCGAACTGTGAGAAGAAATACCTACATGCATCTAAGGTCTTCTTGCACCTAGCAATTCAATTTCACCACATTCAGGGGAATATCATAGTAGAATAAAGGTATTCTATAGAAGTACAAAAACTTTCAAATTCTGGAAAACACAAGAGCATTCTCTAATAAATGGGCTGACTGTAAATAATTGTACCACTTATACATGACACCGAAATATCCAATGCATGTAAATACAGAGGTGGTCCAATTAGTGGACTAAATATTTTTCCTTTCACTTAACGGATAATAATGAGTCCTGAAATACACCTGACAAAAGTTACAATTTGAAGTGAAATTTTTATTAATGTTATTGGAAATGTATACACAGGTAAGGTACAATGAGGCACAACCAATACTTAGAGGCTCTAAAGAACCAATGGTACCCTCACATAAATGAGTTCTTTGGAAAAAAACAATGACTACGCTCCATATCACAACAGGAAAGAAATTGGGAAAATATCTTCAATTGATCAGTCTGGGTTCCAATGGGCTGCAAATAGCCCTGGCATGAATC